GGGGTGTGGGTGTGTGAGGGAATTGAGGGGGATGAGAGTTGCGGGATTGAGTGAGGAGGAGGCGGGTGGGGAGAGAGAAAAGGGCTTGTAGAAAAAGATCGGGGCGGGGGGAAGATAGGTGGGGGGCGAGAGAGGGGGCGGGAGCTGTGGGAATCTCGGGACAAGGGGAGAGGAGGGGACCACAGTTTTCCCTTGTGGAACATTTGGCGTGCCGCACGCCCCTCCCTCGGATCCCCGGCTTGCCCTCGCAGGAATCCCTCCAGTGCCCCTTAAGACCACTTGGGGACCCCTCTTCCATTTCCCTGCATTGCAAGACATTGTCTCCTGAGGTGAGGAAGGGGCTACTGAGGAAAGAGGCCCCTGCCCCCACCCAGTTCTTGGTGGTCAAAGAGATGGAAGTGCAGAGGCCCCCATCAATAAACTGTAGCAAACTGTGTGACCTTGGGCCAGTCACTGCCTGCCTTTCTTTGGGCCTCGATTTCTCATCGATTACATTTTTTTGGGAAAGGAAATCTGAATGCTCTCTCAAAAGAGCGCTTCAAAAAATGAAGTGACTCTTAAGGGAGTTGGTTAGGAATAGGGGTTCTAGGACATGGGGGAAGTAAAGGAAGGGACAATGGAGATGGGGGTGAGGCCTTCAGCTGGGGCTGGAGAAAATCCCAGGGATTTGCAGATGGGGTGGGGTGCACCAAGTCTGCCTGGGCCTCTTGCTGGAAAGATGGAAGGAGAACTCTGGGAGTGGAGGAGGAGGAGAGGAGGTTGATTGCTAAGGGAACAATGATGAAGACCAGAAGTGACATTCTGTTCTACTGAGGGTGATGGGAAGGTAGCAGGAGACAACAGGGCCATATTTTCTAGTAAGGCAGCTGCTAACCTTGGGGAGCAGAAGGAATAATGAGGCCGATCGAGGGGAGTGGGAACTCAGAAGGCCTTAGACATAGGGACAGAAGGGCTGAGCTGTTGGGGCAGCAGGTAGATACACCACAGGCTAGCCACCTAGCTCCCAGGCTTCATGATGCCGGTTTGGTTTGGTTTGGTTTTTTTTTAAATGATGTCTGTTTCTCAGCCTTCATGTCCCCATACAAGTCCTTTCAGGGGATGAGTGACACTCGGTCAACCGGAAGATCACCTGGCTGTCTGAATTAGGGCAGAAAGAAAATGGAATGAATCTGAGTGTAAGGAATGTGTGTGGTGCCACAGCCCTTGCTGGGGGGCATCTTCGGGAAATCATAGGCTTTGTGGCCAGAGGGTGTGGATTTCCTAACCTCCCTCCACTGTTTAATCTCTTGGAATTTTGGGCAAATTCCTTAATCTCTCCGAGCCTCAGTTTCTCTGTCTTTAAAATGGGGACAGTACTGAGCTCTTGGGTGGTTTTGAGGAATAAATGAGTGTTTGGCAAGGTCTGTGGCGCATAATAAGTGCTTGGTTCACAGGAATTTCCAGCTGCTATTTTTTCTTTCCATTCTGTTTCTTCTTTCCTTTTTCTCCTGTTGTTCTTTCTTCTGAACCCTTCGTTCTGGGATGCCCCTTACATGTGGAGAGGAATTTAATCGCCTCTTTATGGGGCGTAGGAGGATTGGGCGACGGGGCGCTGCTTCCACTGGCCCAGGTGAACCCAGGATGATCAATCAGTTGTCTGCCTAGTTCACACATGCGTTTCTGTCTCAAGGAAAAGACAGGATCTGCTAGTTTAGTTCCCTTTCCTCTATCCATCTCTTCCTCTCGAGACTCAGATTTCCAGCCATAGGTATCATAGCTTGAAGTTGTACCGGCACCGAGGGGCCAGGGTGTTTCAGAGAAGAGAGCAGCAGACACATAGCACAGGGGAAGCTTCTGGATAGTCCGTGGTAATTTACATTTCTCCACAGCGCGAGCCTTTGCGGGGAAGTGGCCAAAATAAGCCAGTGTCTGGATCCTGGCCAGCAGTCTCCATCCCACATTGGAGATGGTCATATATGGTTCATTTAATAGTATCTACAAGTTGACTCTCCCATGCCAGGAGTTGATCCCTTTCCTCAGCCACATAGACCTTCGGTGCTGCCTCTCAGCCTGTCCCCAGAGAATTGATACGTATGTATGTATGTATGTATGTATGTATGTATGTATGTATGTATGTATGTATGTATGATGTGCATGGGTGCATAGGCCTGCACACACATTTGTCTCTTCCAGTATAATCCAGTATGCAGAAATCTAACAACATTAGGGGGGATTCTGCATTGTATCACAGCACTTTGTGTGCAGGGCTCTGATGAGACAGCCGAGGAGGTTGAAAAGGAGGGCACGCAGTCTCTGACGGGAGCAATCCCTGCTGTGGATTGCCCGAGTGGAGAGGGGCCGACCTGCCGGAAACGCCCTGCAAACATGGGGCATGTCTTTCGGAGTGGTTCCTGTGCAGAGCAGCTGAGCGTTTATCCTGAGGGAACCCGGGTGGGAGTGTGTGTGTACGTGTGGGGGCATAGTCATAAGAGAGCCTGACGGAGGTGAATCAAGGCTCGTCTGGAAGAAAGACAAAATGGAATAAAAGAAACACATGGGAGTAATCAAACAGTTCCAGGGGAGAGAGGAGGTGGGAAGCCACTGAGTCAGGAGGAGTAAAGAGAAGTATAGGGTGAACTTGCACTGCAAGGCGTTGACTGCTACACGCGATGTTCAGTAAGAGAGGCCATGGGGAGCCAGAAAATGTTGGATCTTGCTGACTTCACCACATGGGCTGCCAGGCCTAAGCTAGAATAAAAACCAGACCTGCATCTTGTGGCAGGGACTCTGCTTTTAAGGGAGTAGGGCTAGTGGGCAAATTGGAACCAGCCCTGGCTTGGTCCCCAACCAGCCGCAGGATCTTGGACTGCCCCACCCCTTCCCCCTTGGCTTTCTCTTCTGTAAAGAGGGCTTACCTTGGTGGGTCCCTCCAGGGCTGACATCCGGTCTTTCCAGACTGGCCTCTCAGGTTTGGTCAGATCTGCCATGACCATTCAGCCAACCATTGGTGCTCTGCACTTTCTATGTGCCAGTAGGGAGAGGTGAGACAAAGACAAGGGGGGGTCTTGGTGGTGAGAGCGAGTGAAGGCAGACAGCGGCCCTGCCCTCTCTCAGAGGGGCTGCAGTCTCGTGGAGGTGACACTGTTTCATTGATTCGGAGATCCACATTTGGACGTTGCTGAAGGAAGGCTGCATCTTGGAGTCGATACAGGTTTTATCATTCCCAGCACGTCTTTTCTCCAGTGCCACCGAGAAGAGTGTAGTCAGCGTGAGTAAGGGGCCCTGATGAGGTCAGTGGGTTAGCAAAGGCTTCCCTGAGGAAACGATCGGCTCAGAGGCAGGTCGAGGAGGGGTGTGGTGTTGATGAGAAGACCGGCCTGGGTAGACGTGGGTGACTGACAGAAGGTCAATGTGGCCAGAGCACAGAGCAGGGGGCTCAGGGTGGGTGAGGCAGGTGGGGAGCAGACCCCAGAGAACCTCCCAGACCTGGGGCGGACTTCTTTTTTTACCCAGAGCCCAGTGGGTTGCCACTGAGGAAAGCAGAGAGTAACATGGTCTGGCGTGCATCTTGAAGAACTGATCATGGCTGCAAGTTGGAGCAGATGAAAAATGGTGGGGGCTTGGACAACAGGAAAAGAACAGAGCTCAGTAAGCAATTGATGAGGGTGAGGGAGGTGTGGATGAGTGACTCACAGGTCTCTCGCCCCACGTGGGGAAACTGGTCTGTGGGGGCCCTCTCTGAGATTTGGCACCTCGGCGCTCAGAGGGCTCCGAGAGGGTCACCCGGCTGTGGGAGGTTATAGAGAGGTTAGAGCGAGAAGGTCCACAGACTGGGCGGCACCTTGCTCTTTTTTTTTTTCTTTCACTTGGTAATGTATCTTCAAGATGCTTCCATCGGAGACGATGTGCACCCGATTCTTTGTTATTACTACAACACGTTCCGCGTTATGCCTGTGTGTGTGAGGGGGCTTCAAAAATGTGGGAGTTTCCACAGTCTCTTCATGCCACGTGTCTTGGTGAACCTGGTGAAGCCGCCTCAAATGCTCCTTGACTGGTGGTGACTCGGGCCAATTCCTATCCTTCGCTATTAGGAATAATGCTGAAGCGAACACTGGGGTCACCAGCTTGTCACCCCGGTGGGACCGACTGTAGCGACAGGGCGGATCCTTAGAAGTGGAAGGTTCTTTATAGAGAAGACTGGTTCATCTGTTAGTACATTCATTATTTATTGGATGCCTGTCAATGTGCCAGGCCCTGCTGTCAGATGCCAGGGATCCAGCTGTCAGCAGGTCATGTGGTGATCCTCGCCCTCCTGGAACGGTGGTGGTGGTGGTGGGGGGGCAGTACACATACCCAGGCAAACACAATCGCAGGCCGATTGTGTACATCCCGTGAAGACATTAAAAGGCGAGCTAGAGGGAATAAAGGAAGGATCTACGTTGTGCAGAACCAAGAAGTCCTTTTAGAGTGGGTCATATTTGAGCTGAGAAGAAAGGACAAGATGTCAAGCCGAGGACAGAAAGACCCAGGCTCTTTTCAGCCTGCACCCATGGGACTGAGGGTGGGTGGGGCAAGAGGAAGCCAGGGAGAAAGGGGAGCAGCGCTGGAGAGATGAGGTGGGTGATGGGGACGGGGCGAGGTCAGTTAAGAGGAGCAGGGAGTTAAGGAAGCATCTGATCTCTACGGGGGGGAGGGGGGGGCGGGCTGAGAGAAGGGGCCATGCCCTCCCTAGAGACTTGAGAGACCTCTTTTGAGGTGTGAGGGAGCCCAGACTTGCCTGGGGGCAAGAGAGTAGACATAGGCCAGCATCTTTTCGGTGACTTCAAAGAGAGATCTGGCCCAAAGAAGTGCACCTTGCAGGGGCCTTCCAGCTGACTCTGGCCTGGCTGAGGAGGGAGCAGCCCTGTCCAGGGCTGAGAGCTTCTCTCCAAAAGGCCAGGATTTGGGGCTCTGTGGCCCTCCCTCTGCCCTCCGCGCCCCTTTCTCACCCACCCCTTCTGCACCAGTCCATCTCTGCCCGTCCTGGGTCCTTTGACTTTTCTCTCCCTCAACAGTCGGTTCCCGATTCTGGTCCCCGGCCCCCAGCAGCGCCTGCCCCCTTCCCACCGGGGCCCCCCATGATGCCACCACCCTTCGTAAGTTTCATGTCTTTCCCTGGGCCTGGCTTTACCAGCCTGAACCCCCCAGCTCCCTAGCCCCTTGCCACTGCTGCCCTGCCAGCCCGGGGCGCCCCAACTACTCCTCTGCCACCCGGGAAGAGGGAAGGTTGCCCCTGGGTCTGAGTGGGGAGAGCTGGTAGGTTTTCTGTCTGTAACCTTGACACAACCCCCCCTCCCCCCCAAACCTTGTGCCATTTTGTCCTTGGGACGCATGGGGTGGGTAGAAGAAGTAGACAGGAACAGACCCGGTGAGGCTAGGACGGGACAGGGGAGGTGGCCTTTCTTTTTCACCGGTCCTTCTCTATGCTCTTAATCGGGCCACACGAGTCCAGCTGGAGGCATTGGTGGTCACACAGCTGGAGGAACGGGCATGGGAGGCCTTGCATACCTGCCTTCTGCCCCTTCATCTGAGAGGCCCAGTGTGGGGACAGCTGCTGGAGAGTCAGAGCCTGCTAGCTGCGGTCTGGGGGCCGCTCCCCTGCCCTTGTCCCTCCGCCCGCCCCTTACCTCACAAGAAGCTGTGTGCTAGCCTCTTAGATCTAGCCTGTCTTGGTGGTGAGGAGGGAGGCAGTGTCCTGACTACAGCCACTGAGCTACCGCTGAGCCGGGGGACGGGAGGCAGGTGGGCATTTTTCAGAGGGGTCCAAGGCAGTGTCTTCTTTGCTCAGTGTCTCTATCCTTCCTTGCTTCCAGATGCCCCCTCCAGGGGTGCCCCCGCCCTTCCCTCCAATGGGGCTACCCCCTATGAGTCAGAGACCACCAGCCATTCCCCCCATGCCACCTGGCATCATGCCTCCCATGCTTCCACCAATGGGGGCACCACCACCACTCACACAGGTAATCCTCCCCTCACCCCCCAGGGCCTATCAACATCGGTGGGTAGAGATGAGTGGGATGGAGCCTCCACCCCCGGGGTGGGGCGGGGGAACTGGCAGGGGACTCTGGGCCAGGCCCTTGTGCATGTGTCTGCTGGAGCCTGAGGGCATCCCTTAGTGAGGGTCAGGACCCCAAAGCGATCTCTGAGGAGCCCCCTGGGCGCCCTGACTGACAGGAACGCTGCCCAGCCTGCGCCTGCCCTGACCTCAGTAGCTAGGTTTGTCTTCTCTGTATTCATAGATACCAGGAATGGTCCCTCCCATGATGCCAGGAATGCTGATGTCCGCGGTGCCCGTCACCGCCGCGGTAAGCGTAGTGGCCATCCGGCAGCAGGTCCTGTCCTGCCGCCTGGGCGCCTGACTTGGAGTATGGGAGGAAATGGCTGCCATTTGGTCCCTCTGCCTGTCTGACCGCCCCTGGTCCCCAAGTGCTCCAGCTGGGCACTTGGCCTGACTACCTTCCCACTCATTTCCAGAAGTCTCTCATTGCCCTGATCTGTGCCACAGCCCTGCCACACATGCCCGATCTGCCCCTAGGGGTGCTCTTTCTGAATGTAGGGACCTAGTCCTTTGCTTCTTCTTGGTCTCGGAGGAGACCTGGTCCCCAAGCGTGCTCAGTGCCTTCTTGGGCTGTTGCTCAGTGCAGAGACTGGGGAGGGCATAGACGGCAGTGCCTGCCGTGGAAGGCAGAGCCGACTTTACAGTCCTTTGACATGGGCCTGCCACTTAGGCTCCCAGAGTCCGAGGGTGGGGTGGGCAGAGGACATCTGTTAGGGAGCAGAGATCCCTGGGAGCCAGGACACATGGATCCTGGCCTGGCCACCTTCTCTGTCCCCACGGCCTGGGTCCTGGGGCCCACTGGGCTTGGCCCCAACCCTTCCCCCTCCTCTTTCTTCGGCAGACGGCTCCAGGTGTGGACACCGCCAGCTGTGAGTCTTCTGGGGCCTGCTCCCCTCAGGCTCGGAGGTTGGGGGGCTCAGGGGAGAGGGGACCGAGGACTGGAGCCCATCCTGGACCATGCCTGCTGGGATGCCAGGGAGCCTGGGGTGCTGATGGGGCCAGGGGCTGTTTACTGGGAAGGGACCTGGGAGGACTACGGGGATGAGATGGAGCTGGAGAAAGGACTTAGTGTGTGTCCTTTGGCTTTTTCCTCTAGCTGCTGTGGCCGGGACGGGTCCCCTGGTGAGTGCTTCTAGTTGAGCAGTTACTGGGGTGAAAGGCCGAGAGGGGGGCAGGGCGGCTGGTGATGATGCTTGAGGGCTGGGAAGGAGAGCCTTTGGAAAAGGACCTTGACCGTGGTTCTGTGCCCTTCCAGAGGGCCCTGTGGAGCGAGCATGTGGCCCCTGATGGGCGCATCTACTACTACAATGCTGATGACAAGCAGTCCGTGTGGGAGAAGCCCAGCGTGCTCAAGTCCAAGGCCGAGGTCCTGCTCAGACTGCCCTGACCCTTCCATGTCCTTGGCTGCCCCTGATCTCGCTGATCTTGAGACCTCTGACTATCCCCCAATCTCTGTGAGCTGTTGCCCTAGGGTCTCAGGAAGCCTGTCTTCCGGCAGATTGAGCCAGACCAGGTGCAGCTAAAGACCCCCTTGTCCCCGTTCCACTGGGTCTCCATAGCTCCCTGCCCATGGCCGCTGGCCCTGCCCAGCCCACTGACATCCCCTGACCCTCCTCCTGCAGTTGCTGCTCTCCCAGTGCCCCTGGAAAGAGTATAAGTCAGACACAGGCAAACCGTACTACTACAACAACCAGAGTAAAGAGTCCCGCTGGACCCGGCCCAAGGACCTGGACGAGCTGGAGGGTGAGAGGACCTGGGGGCATGAGGGCCTGGGGATGCTCCGGGGGCCCCAGCTCCCCGGGGACTGACCATGCTGTTTTTTTCCATTGCAGCTTTAGTCAAACAGGAGTCTGCAGGGTGAGTGGCCCACCTGTCCATCTGGGTGACCGTCTCTCCGCTTCTCTGGGGAACAGTTTGCCTTGACCCCAGTCTTCCCCAGGGTGGAGAGCCCCATCCTCTGACCCCTTTGTCTTTGCTCCACTCCCGGGCACTGTCCACCGGCTCCCCTGTAGGAAGCAGCAGCCGCAGCCACCCCAACCCCAGCCTGATCCCCCACCTGTGCCTCCTGGCCCCACCCCAACGACCGTGGGCCTCATGGAACCTGAGCCAGGTGGGAGTGAAGACTGTGACGTGTCCGAAGCTGTGCAGCCCACGGAGCACCCAGAGGAGAGTCCCAGCAGGTGAGGCCTGCCCTGTGGCGGCATCCCAAGTGCTGGCCTCAGGCCCCCAGCCCTGAGCCTGGCTGCTCAGGAGGGAGGGCTGTGGTGTCTGGTGTGACCGCTGGAGGGTGGACGAGGCAGCTCTGGGAAGCCAGGGGGATGGTGCTGCTGAGAGTGCAAGGCCCTGGAAGCTTTAGGAACTAGGGGGCCCTGTGGCTGAGTCCCCTCTGCCCCCTAGTTCTGCTGGACAGCATCAGCCTCCACAGCAGGAAGAGGAGGAATCGAAGCCAGAACTAGAGAGGTCTGGCCTCAGTTGGAGCAACCGGGAGAAGGCAAAGCAGGCATTCAAGGAGCTGCTGAGGGACAAGGTGCTGGCTGGGTGGGGCTCCCGGGGAGGCCTGAGGACCGGAAGTGGGCGAGCCGTGACCACTGCCTGCTCCCTTCCAGGCTGTCCCCTCTAACGCCTCGTGGGAACAGGCCATGAAGATGGTGGTCACTGACCCCCGTTACAGGTAGGCCTGGGCACAGGGAGCCAGACCCGTCTGGCTCTCTTCATGTGGGCAGCCAGAGTAGGGAGCCTAAGGCCAGGCTGGGCTGGGGGTGCCCCAGGAAGACAAGGGAGAGGGAGGTTCTGACAGGAGACTTCAATACATGCTTGATGAATGGAATGGAATGGATTTCATTGGGGCAAGTGGGCTGCTAGGGCAGACCTGACTGATCCAACACCCTCACTCACACCCCAGGGGTCTGTCCTGCCTCTCTGTCCCCTCGCAGCCCCTGCAGCCCCACCCTGCCCATGCATAGATCCTCCCTCAGCTCTATGGAGACCCAGCCCCACGCAGTGGGCTGATTCTGTCTGTCCCGCCCCTGCCGCACCCCTTGCTCTGCAGTGCCTTGCCCAAACTGAGTGAGAAAAAGCAGGCATTCAATGCCTACAAGGCTCAGCGGGAGAAAGAGGAGAAGGAGGAGGCCCGGCTGCGGGCCAAGGAGGCCAAACAGACGCTGCAGCATTTCCTGGAGCAGCATGAGCGGATGACCTCCACGACACGCTACAGGTCAGAGGGCGTTGGGGGCTCTGTGGGCGGGGCCTGGCTGGCGCCCCGCCTCCTGACCACTCACAGCGCGTGTGTTTCACAGGCGGGCGGAACAGACCTTCGGGGAGCTGGAGGTCTGGGCTGTGGTCCCTGAGAGGGACCGGAAAGAGGTTTATGATGATGTCCTCTTCTTCCTGGCCAAGAAGGAGAAGGTAACGGCCGCCGGGGCCAAAGCCGCCAGCGTCCATCTGCGCTGGTGCCCTTGCTTGCTTTAGGTCCCGGTTAGTCGCTCCCCGGATCTCCAGCTCCTGTCCATGGGAGCCTGCGTGGCATTTGCCCATCACCCGAGGTGGGGTGGGGCTGTCACCTGTGTCCCCTCCTCCTGCTAGGGCTGTGAAAGCCAGGAGCGCAGGTCTCTCCCGGGAGTGTGCCGTTTACCTTAGCTCCTTTCCCGCCCAGCGCCCCCAGC